ATACTTGGACCCAATCCTCCTTATCATTTCCGATAATCCTCTGATGTAGGGAAGTACGACTACTGGCTGTGGCGGCTTCTCTTCCTTGTGGAACTCTTGCTGTCTTCTAGCTAAAGACTGTTCTACCATCACTCTGGAGTAACCATTCCGTTGAAGGTCATTCTTGATGATGCCTAGTTCCTTTTCGAGACCTTTCTTTGTATTACAGAGCCCGAAGGCACGGTCTAGTAGAGTATTGATGATTTCTCTCTTAGTCGATTGATGGTGGTTCAGATACTGTTCAGATACTGTCCTGTGTGAGTGTATATCGAAAACCCACTGAACATTTATCTTTGTTATTCTTAATGTGCATGCCTAAGTTGTTCTTGGTTTTGAAAGCAATATTTACACCTTTGTTGTGCGGAAAATTTGAAATATTTGTAGTGGGTTGGCCTAAGTAGGTTAAGGTTCTATAACTTTTATCCTCTTCTCTTCGGACCTATTCGGGTAGATTCATTTATGAGAAAGCAGGCATGCAAGAAAATAATATGTTAGAGTATAAAATAGTTCTAATTTAGAAGTAACTTTTAGTTTACGCTCGAGGAAGCTATTATATAGCGAAACACGTGTCGCGGTTTTTGTAAAACCGTTCATAGTGAAAATCATACAATATACTGGATTTTCATCGGCCAGTTCTGTTCAATGTTTTGCCAAGTTTGGAGAAACAACTACTTTTTTGAATGGAATTGGAATCAATCAATCATCTGAACGTGATCTGAAGGTTTTCTTATCTGACGTTTCGATTATCCTAAGCGATGTGGCAAATGTGGTAGTAACTACTGAGAGGACAAGTTGAACACTTCGTCTGTTAACTCATCGCCTTTGATAATATCTTTCGGAAATTGATTACTTTCTTCTTTCTTTGAAAGATTCCCACATTTTTTAATGGTTTTATTTAGCTTGCCGTGTTTGTTTGTTTGGGTCGAATTTAGTGATTGAAATTTGACCCTCTATCTGTTGACAGATTCATCTGATATATGGTACATACATTTAGTTTTGATGACAACGCAATTCAATAAATTATATGTCATTGTTAATCCAAAATGGATGCAGCTACAAAATGGCGGATTACATATTGTGTCGTAACTACCTCAATATGGGTATCAAATGACAGGGTTTGACAAGTAGAATAGTACACTTTGAAAAAGATGTGAATTCAAGATGGCCGCAGCTACAAAATGGCGGGTTACATTTTTTTTTTCAACTATAATGAGTATGAACATTTGTGGCGAGTAGACGTGTTTGGTGTGTGCTCCGCCTCAAACTGCAGTTTGAGGAGTGCCAGAAGATGACAGTACTACCAAATGTCGAAAGCGCTCGCAGATAATTAATAGAAGATATAAAGCTTCAAATCCTTTTTGTATGTCTGTTTAAAATCTGTTTTTCCGTTAACCAGCTGTCGCACCCCTACGAACGACAACCCTCAGAGGTCGAAACGTGTTAAATCTGAAGTTCTCACGGATAGGGCTATGCTGAACTGGTTTTTCGGGTATTTGATCCGTGTATGTGATATTATCTTTAATTTCACCCACGAACGATTTTAATAAATGAAGAACAGCACGGCTTTGTGCCAAAAAAGTCAACTTCCACAAATCTTTTATCTTTTAGTCATGACGTATTTAGAAGTCTGGAAAATTCTACCCAAGTCGACGTGATATACACAGATTTCCAAAAAGCTTTCGACAAAGTAAATCATGATGTATTGTTAAATAAACTTTCTCTATGTGGAGCTGCTAAAGGAACTATGAAATTTTCAGCATCATATTTAAATGATAGAACGTTCAAAGTGAAATTTGGTACCAACTACTCAGATGAGTACCAGTCAAAATCAGGAGTGCCCCAAGCAATAAATCTGGGGCCTCTATTGTTTCTCATTTTTATTAATGATCTATCAGCGGAAATTAAATATTCAAATTATTTACTTTTTGCCGATGACCTTAAATTTTATAGAAAAATAGATTGTGTTCAAGATCGTAGTAAACTGCAAAAGGATATTGAAAATGTTTACCAATGGAGTGTGAAAAATAAGTTACCATTCAATACTTCAAAATGAATTGCAAAAATTACGATTTTTTTATCGTAATTCATGAATGAAGTGTGTGTATTTTCTATAATGTTATCCAATTTGGTACTGAAGAGCCTTAGGGCAAGTGTCTTAAGGCGAAACATCGGTGTATACCAGTGATGATGACAGAGTTCTATGTAAGTGCAATTTGTTACCATTCATTTAAAGTAGAACTCATGTGAATGATATCTGATTTTTAATCCACAACGAATATTTGAAATACAAACTGAGTAGAGAAAAGTTTCTTCTGTATAATTCAGTGTTCATATAGAAGTATTTGTTTCGAAAGAATTTTTTCTTTCGTATAATTCAATGTTAATATGAAAGTAGCTGTTTCAGGAGGAATTTCTTTCGGTTTGTGTCTGAAAGTTACTTCTTTGCATGATCTATACATCCATGTATAGGGTAACTTTCTTCCTTTCTTTGGAAGACTCCCTCATTCTTCTTTTTTTGTATCAAGATGGAGTAGTAGAAAGCCAAAAACTTTCATTCCCAAAAATTAATCCCTCCTAAAAAATATAACCCTTTCAATCTATAAAGATTTTCTCATGTAATTAGGATACACCTGTATGAGAGTAAATAAATGAAAAAAATAAATAATAATATAGCATTTATTGTCCAAGAGAAACCATTTACAAAGCAATTTTCAAAGGATGGCAATAAAATGTAATTAGAAGTATAGTAGTAGTGTTACAACATAAAAAACATATCATGGATACAACATACAGAATAAAAAGAATAAACGAAAAAGAGTACATACACGATTGATTCCCAAATTGCTTATAGATGTGCTCGAGATTAATTCCTTAATTTACCCCTACTGCAGTTAAAAATATCACACATATTTGATAATTTGTTTAGCATCGGAACACATCACATTGATTGGAGATTTTGACAGAATATTTGTTTCAGCTTTTTCGCACTTAAAAGTGAAATTTGTTCTAGACTCCAATCTCTGCACATGAAAATCTATATGTGATAATAGTAAAGGGGAATCAACTTCACCATTCAATAGCTTATGTAGAAATATTATGGATGATCGATTTCTGCGTCTTCTAAAGATACGAACTTCATCAACCTTGATGATAAAAATTTTTAAAACATTTTTTCTACTTTCTCAATGGTTATTGGAGATAGACTATAAATGGGATTCCATATTATTGATTCATATTCTAGTTTAGACCTTATTAGACTGAGGAAAACAGATGATAGTGTAGTGATATCATTAAGGTTCCTAGAATTTCTAAAATGAAACCATAAAAACGATATGCTGATTTAGTAATTTCGTTTATGTGAGAGTTATTTTAGGCTGATTGTCGAAGTGAACTCCTAAGTCTTTAATATTATCAATATGTTCAAGATCTTCAGAGTATGTGGTGCTGCAGGTTTTTACGGGTCTTCCCGCAGCTGAAAAAGCAAATGCGCCACCAGAATCAATGAAATCGCCTCGGAGCGCCAATTAATTTTTGTTGTTGTTTTATAATTTCATGAATTGTATTTCGGAAGTGTTGTTATTATATTAAATTACAAATAAAAGTGTTAAAAAAATATATTCAAGAATTGTATTACGGATTCTGTATAGATAAAAAAACAGTATTGGATTTTCTAGTGAAAGTTAACACTTGACATTTAGAAATATTTAAGAAAAGCTGGAAAGGTGATTTTTCAAACACCAATCATGTAAAGAGTTAATTTGTTTCTGTAGTATAATACAGGGCTTTTCATAATGAGGGTTAATTAGCCGTTTCTGACAAACTATTCAACAGATCAACCTGAAAATTCCACAGTATGCATAAGTCAATATGATCTACAGGCCTAAAATATTTTAGACGAAGCGACGTTGTCGCTTCTACTATGAAGTAGCGGCTTCTTTGATTTTTCAAATGGAACATCCCGTATATAATATCATATTATGATTCATTATCACTTTGTCAACAAATTCATATACTATTTCCCTATACCTATCTATTACCGTTTAGAAGATATAAATTAATTGTTTGGTAAAAAAAATATCGAAATTAATTTATATCTTCTAAACGGTAATAGATTGGTATAGGGAAATAGTATATGAATTTGTTGACAAAGTGATAATAAATCATAATATGATATTATATACGGGGTGTTCCATTTGAAAAATCAAAGAAGCCGCTACTTTATAGTAGAAGCGACAACGCCGCTTCGTCTAAAATATTTTAGGCGTGTAGGTCATATTGATTTATGCATTCTGTGGAATTTTCAGGTTGATCCGTTAAATAGTTTGTCAGAAACGGCTAATTAACGCTCATCATGAAAAGCCCTGTATAATCATCCAAATTAGAAACAGAAACATATAATTTCGAATCATCTGCAAACATCAATTCATTCAAGTGTCTCGCAATGATCATTAATAAATATCAAGAATAACAACGGTTCCAAGTTGGGTCCTTGCGGCACTCCAATGGTTGCAATATAGTTTAGTGAGTAAAATCCATTGTATCAGTTTGTACTGTTTTCTATTATTCAAATATGATTTCAAAAGGTTTAGAAAAATTCTAATTTTCTTAAGCAGTATTTTTTGGCTTATTTTGTCGAAGGTCTTGGAGAAATCAGTATACACCTCATCAACCTTTTCTCTTCGGTCTAATGATTCATATTCACATAAGAATTGACTGAAAATGGATAAATTACTGATTGTATATGGGTATCAAATGGCAGGGCTTGACTAATAGAATAGTAGTACAGTTTGAAAAAGATGCAAACTTAAGATGGCCGCTACAAAATGGCGGATTACAACATATAACTTTGTAATATTGAGGCACTAAATGAACTAAACAGAATAAGTAGAATTGAGTAACAAAATTAGAAACTAAAATCTTGAAAATTAAATTAATGAAAAAAATTGTTATGTTATTCGGTTTTATTGAAAAAAATAAGAAAATAATGATTTAATTAATGTACTGAGAACTAAAATATAATTCGGACGACCGTAGGTAGCAGTCATTACACCACTCTCCTCAGCAATCTGAGGTATTGATCATAAAAAAATCTGATTAAATGTATGAACGATTTTATTTTTTATTTCTGATCAATACCAAGATGGAAAAAAAGGAAGAAGAAATTATTCCCTCCTCGGAAATATTGTCTTTCAACATCTGGAGATGACTGAAATCAAATCTCACAGCTAGCTAGGAGCTTTCGTATACATCTAGGCGAGTCATAACCTTCGATAATAGGAGTCATCAAATGAAGGTGATCAGTTGAGTGCCATTACTTGATTTTTAGTATAAGAACTGTCTTTTTTGTTATTATATTCTTCTTCCCGCTCTTTTCAACTCTTCAATTATCGTGAAACTGATAAATAAAAGTCTGGGATTTACGGAATAGGCTATGAGTAATGCGGTTGAAAGTATGTTGGTCAAACTAGGCGAACTATAGAAACTCATCACAAGGAACATATTTCACATATTAGGTTTCATTGACAAGATATGCCTAGTGTTACTGAATGAAACATGCAATGGATTAGCAACAATTGATTTATTTTCGAAATATCGATTTTAAACATAATACAAACATTAAAAAATATAACTTGAAATTAGTCAGTTCAAAAAATACACTCAGGTCACTTAAATTAACCACATCTCTGAATGACAAGTGACATAATTGAGCCAATAATACTAAATTCTTTTCACATTCAATTCTGTACTCAAATGAATCCATAACATGTTAGGTTATACACTTAAATTTTTTTCAAACTGGAATTTATTGTGGAATTTAAAATAAGGAATCAACTCAAATATCGAGTTTGTTCAAGTGAAAAACACAATGTATTATTCATTTCATGAAAACGCATACAACAAAAAAAGCAAAAAACCAATCGAAACTTGTATTTGAAATTATTGTTATTTCAAGTAATACCATTTTCCAATGATGCTTACGAACGGTATGTAGCAGTATTTCTGAAAACTTTGAATGATCTCTGTAATTATTTACACATTAAATCTTTATTACCAATACTAGTATATGTATTAACATTTATTTCCACTTTGAACGATATATTAATATTCTGAAGCAAAATCAGAACTCGTCACGAGTCAGGGAAAATTGTCTGACTTGGCTAAATATACGAAAAACGATCTAGGAGATAGTTGTCTTCATAGAACCCTTTAGAATCAACACATGTTTTATCTGTCAAGTTGAGTTTGCATTATCAAGATACAAGAGTACATTCATCTCACTAATGATTATGCTGAAATTATGCCAAATAAACGAACATGATGAAAAATTATCAGATCTATTTATGTTTCAAGAACAACTGTATTTCTTCCAAAGTCATTCCCTTGGTCTCAGGTACATATTTCACGATAAACCCCAACATAATCATACATAAAACTGAGAAACACAAAAATGAGACTGATAAACTATTGAACTCGTCATTCGTTACCTGAAATATTTTTACCGTAATCGAATTAATGAACAAAATGAAAATTTCTGCTGAACAGAGGGCATTTGCTTTGACATTTGTGGGAAAAAGCTCACTCAAGTAACAAATTTGTGTGAATGACAAACCAATACTGAATAAAATACTGTACAATGATAATGATGTGAGAGGAAGCCAGTTCAAATAATGTTTCACGTCATAGTCAAAATCCTTGGCAAAAAAATAGGCGCTCATCACGAAAAGAGTAATACTACAACCAGCTGTTGAGATTATAGTCAAATATCTTTTACCGAAACGATCGATAATGAAATACGTTGTAAATATCATCACAACAAGTTCGACAGTACAGAAAACTATTGTAGAGAGTATTGAGCTGATGCTACTACCTGTTTCTTCAAAGATCATTTTTGTATAAGATAGCACTGGTGCCTTGGCACACCCTGCCAAAGCTAAAGAAAGAATAATGTAAATGGATACCGCTTTTCGATTACTTGGCACTGTGAAAATATCTGTAAATTTGGTATTTTTGACCATTTCTTCTTCTAATTTAACTGCATCACATATAACTTTCAAATCTTCTTCGACGTTCACAGTATTCCTAAGAGTAATCAAGGCTTGTTTAGCTGCCTTGATATCATTAACTTTTATATAATAATAAGGAGATTCGGGCATGAAGATGAATCCAAGGAAGTGAATGGCCGGCACAGAAGCGCAAATAATACTGCAAGAAAATATGCTCAAAAAGCAGCCTAATGTATTGATCAGTAATACTCCCAAAACGAAAAAGAAACTGATCAGGGAAGAAAGGAAACCTCTTATTTTAGGAGCTGAGATTTCTCCGATATACATTGGCACCACCGTGAAACAAGCTCCATCAGCCACACCAATTATCAATCTCAGTATAAAAAGAACCCATACATTTCTAACATAACCTATACTGAGCTGAGAAAAAAATACAGGGGGAGCCATCATGAGAATAGTATACTTTCGGCCTATTTTATCGGCAAAATATGCTGCTATTGGAGCTCCTATTATACCTCCTATCCCTGGAGATATAATACACCATGCAACTTCATTACTTGTCATTGGTATTATCGATGAGTTTGACTTCAAGTATGTTACGAACGGAGAAGTCCAGCATGCATTTATTCCAAAGCTCATCATTGTAAGGGCTCCTGAAAAATATAAAGCAAAATGAACTAGATGTTGATGAATTTTTGTAAATATATTAATTTGTTTATTGTTTGGGGTTGGAAGCCTTCTGGCTATTGAGGTGAGGTGAGGTGAGGTGAGGTGAGGTGAGGTGAGGTGAGGTGAGGTGAGGTGAGGTGAGGTGAGGTGAGGTGAGGTGAGGTGGAGACAGATAAGGTGAGAACAGGTGAGGTGGAGACAGATGAGGTGAGAGTGAGGTGAGGTGAGGTGAGGTGAGGTGAGGTGAGGTGAGGTGAGGTGAGGTGAGGTGAGGTGAGGTGAGGTGAGGTGAGGTGAGGTGAGGTGAAGTGAGGACAGGTGAGGTGGAGACAGATAAGGTGAGAACAGGTGAGGTGGAGACAGATGAGGTGAGAACAGATGAGGTGCGGTGGGGACAGATGAGGTGAGGACAGATGAGTTGAGATGAGGACAGATGAGGTGAGGTGAAGTGAGGACAGGTGAGGTGGAGACAGATGAGGTAATCACAGGGGAGGTGAGGTGAGGTGAGGACAGATAAGTTGAGATGAGGACAGGTAAGCTGAGGACAGGTGAGGTGAGATTAGGCGAGGACAGGTGAGTTGGGGATAGATGAGGTGAGTACAGGTGAGGTGAGGTGATGTGAGAACAGGTGAGGTGACATGAGGTGAGGAGAGGTGAGGTGAGATGAGGTGAGGACAGGTGAAGTGGGGTTAGATGAGGACAGGTGAGGTGTGGTGAGATTGTACAGGTTTTTCACAGAAGATCAAAAAGGGCGCTCGACCTAGATACCTCATCATATCAACAATCGATGTAAATGTTAACAAAGTGAAGAAAATTGTTATGGAGAATTGTCAAATCACTATCAGAATTCTGAACAACTACTCTTATATGAACATTGAATTATACAAAAAACACTTTTTCCTATTCAGTTTGTTCTCCAAAGATTCTTAATGGAACATAATATGATATAATAGTTTCCAGTACAAGCTATCATTCAATGTAATTTTTTTATACATGAATGTTCAAGCTAAATATTTGCATATACGTCTAGCTTGGATGGCAATGCGTAGTTAGCTAAATGTCGCCATTTCACATCTAATACGGTGAACTGCACAATATTGCGAACAATTTTTTGTGCTCATATGAAATGAAAAGATTTGGTGGAAAAATACATAAACTAAAATGACGTCACTCTAAATCCAATATGGCGGACTCCCAAAAATAGTGAACTATGCTGTTACCCAATTATATGGATATTAAATGAAGGGGTTCAAGGCAGAAAAATTCAAAATGTCGAAAAACAAAATGGCCGACGTACAAATTTTGAAAAGTTAAAACTCGACAAAGGATAGGGATAGTTTGATGTTCGAACAAATGTTGTTGGGATCGACCTTTGCACGAAATCTTCAGGAATTTATATTTCGGCCCCGAATTTCATGCAGTCAAATAAAACTGCCTACGTGATCAGGTTGGTTCTCGCCTGCGAATGATAGGTCTTCTAACTGAAAAAACGACTGTGCGGTTGGCTCCTGTTGGTGACTCCGTACATATAATATGTAGTTTTTGACCAACTTGACTGCACCGCGCTGACTAGGCCATTAGCCAAAAATATGTGTCAGCGTTTTTCTACAGACCTTTCCTTTAATTAGATTTAGGTTTATTAAATATGGATGTCAACGCTTCAATAAATTGAAACAGCAATATGTATTAGTTCAAGGTAGTTGAGTTTTTAAATTATAATTTCAATTGAGGTAGTGATCAATAAGATCCTAGTATAATAAAAATCATCTTTTGGTCATTCTGTCTATTCAGAAATGACACCATGAGTTTGTTCACGTTTTTACAATTTTCTTCCAAAAGTAAATATATTTTTTACTCAACTAACAGAAAAATAATATAAGCATACATGTCGCACATGCTAATTGTTGCAATTACACTGACACCATTATTGATAACTGGAGGTTGTCGATCCGACTGAACCGATATCGGTTTCGTTCTGATATACGTGGACTGTTCAAAAAATGAGGTGAATGTTCAAGTTTCGCGAGTTGCGTATATTCGAATAACGTTTTTTTTTCAATTTTTCATATTGGTACACTCACTCATTTTGAAAATATGTTTATAGTTTCAGCTAGCACATTCGCTAGCGATAAAAAGACTCAACAATTTTGAAGAAAACATTCACATTTAAGGTTGCTCCTGAGAAATTAAAATGACAATATCGTTGAGATGAAGAAGAAAGGGTGAGTGATCAAGCGAATAAGTATGACAGTGGAAATTTTGAAAGTGTCATTGAACATTCTCAAAGCCGGTATAATTTTGTGGCTTTTGATACAGAGTTCATCATGTGAAACGAAAAGTAATTGAAGATATGAATTCAATTGATTTGAAAACTCCATTCTATTATAGAAAGTATTTTCAAATTTCATGTGAAGAAGATTCTTCAGGGACATTTTTAGTGCCATTTTTCGAGTCATTCGAATTTTCTATGCTCTTTTTTTATAAAATGGTTTGCATAGATGCCCCAATTTATTAAAATTTTCAGAATGGACTGGTATTCATCTGTTTTTACCTTATGATTTTTTTCACTATGAAGATAGACTTTCTTCTTAAGTCACAGTAACAGTTTCGATAATACGTTTTTTACTGTTGTCATCCAAAATTTGAGCTGCAGAGGGATATATTTATAAACCAGCTTGGATTCAGAAAAAATATGTCGACCAAAGAAGCAATCCAAACATCAACAATACAAATTACGAAAACTCTAAATGAGAACAAACAGTCCATCTTTGTGATTATTTGTTGACTTAAGCAAAAGTTTCTGATACCGTTAGCAATACTCTTCTTTTGTAGCTTTGTATCTGTAGATATGTACTGATTATAAAAAAGCCGGACGGTACATTAGGTCACACGGTATATCGAAAGCCAACACACACGAATAGGTACCTAAACGCAAATTCACACCACCACCCAAAACAATTTCACGTGGTGGCAAAAACACTCATTACACGTTCGAGGAGGCTGGCAGACAACGATTACAGACAAAAGAGCTGAATACCATCGAAACAACTCAGAAACTCAAACTCAACAAATGAATAACTACTCAGAAAGAAGTATAAAAGCGGCTGCCAAGACCACACGGTAACAACAAAAAACTCGAGATACACCGGTCATAACAACCACACTACCATATATTGCAGGAACAACAGATAAAATCAGCAGAATTCTTCGCCGCCATAACATATCAACTTCGTTCGTACCAGAACGGACAATAAGGTCCATGCTTCGTAATCCCGAAGATCAGATACCACTGGAGTCACAAAGAGTGTATGAAGTACCATGCCATGATTGTGACAGGACTTACATCGGCCAGACCAACAGACGAATCAACATTCGCAAAGATGAACACAAACTAGCAGTGAAGGGAAAAGTCACCACGTCTTCTCTCTTCCAATACGTACTGCAGACAGGACATAACATCAATTTCGATAACACAAAAATACTAGCAAGCAACGAAAACTTTTACTCGCGAACAACCAGAGAGGCTATCGAAATTGAAAAACGACCTAATAATATAAACAAGAGGGATGATGCGCAAAGATTACCATCAACATGGAGATCCGTTTTATCGCTTCGCACAAGCAATCAGACCGCTCAACCCCAGAAGCAAAACTCGGCACATGATAATACAGGTACAATAACAGAGGCAGGAGAGACAGCTCAGGTAATAAGACCAAAACAGGTAGTCGAGCAAACACAGGTAGTGGCAGCAACGCAGGTAAAGGGAAACATCCATCCCTATAAATTGAGACGCAGAGTTCGAACTAATCAGTCTAGTTGAAAAAACCAGACATCACCAGAAGATGGCAAATGAGACTTTGCCGAAACGTTGTGAAAAACAATAACATATAAAAATTGCCGAAGTCATCAGGCCGAAGGTGTCATTGAGTCCTGAAATTTCAGTCAAGCCGCTTCCTTGGCTAAAGAGTCGGTAAATTCAGGTACTCAATCAAGCCAAGTACCTCTATTATTACCTACAGGGGTGCTATATAAGGACTAATGCAACAAACCATTGTTAGTTTAATGTATAAGTTGAAAATATTCTTATAGGACGAAACTGCAGTAACGTTAGTTACAAATAAAAGTGGTAAAAAACGTAGAAAGTTTCAATTCTCTTTTCTTCGTTGAGGTTTGTATTCTCGATATGAAGTATTCGGAATAATTGAAGATAATTGAAGATTGAATAGTTTAATCTTTCTCGTGAAGATGATCACTTGGTGATCGAAATACGTGTCAGAGTGTTGAAGTAACGATTTCGTCTTGGGAAAAAACTCCAGTAATATTCATTACTACACCAATGGTTCCAAATAGTGCATCACATAAGTATAAAGTGGTCATCAATCTGAACATTCAATAAACTGATTAGTGAGTGAGAAAATTTAATTTTTCAAATAACCATTGGACGGAGTTTTCAAATCCAAAGATTACTAAAAAATGTATTTCAAGTCTTTTGAATCAACCCTATAGACTAATTAAAAATTTGGGGCGATTGTTGTTCGCTCGGCGATTTTGAATGGCAGAGTCAAAAATTTCGGCAGATACCTCCTTCTATAAAAATTTGACAGGTCTTTTGCATTTTCCTAAAAACCGCTTCATTTCGTTTCAGATCACTTAGCAATCACATATTCATGTAGATTGATACATTTCTAGAGTTTTCTTCTAATTTATGGAATGGATCTTTTTGAACAGTAAATAGGTATTGTCTGAAGGTGCTGAAATATACCAAAAACATTACGATAACAATGAGCACATTGATGAAGTTGATGATCCCATACACGATTCTAGCTGCAAAGAAGATAAGCCCAAATTGCTCCACATTCTATATAAAAATTTGATGAACATATTCTGATATAAACAAGGGCGATGACATTACCTCTTAAGAAGACAGAGAACTCAAACCTCAATTTTCATATACAGGACTATTCAAATTCGTAAACGATAAGAGATAGAGTATCGGTTAAATTATGGTAAAGTTGCGTATTTTAGAGACCTATTCAATGATGTGAAGAAATCGAATATAGCTCTTTTGGTTTTGGAGATATACAGGAAATACTAAAAAATCCCAAATTTATTTTTTTGTCTCTATCTTCTTTATTCGCAGACATATTGAAAATCTGTCCACATTTTGCCATTGGCACTTGATTTGGGCTCTCAGAATATATCCATGAATCTTTTATACAGGGTGTCATCTGACTTGGGCCACCCCCATCTTTGAATTTTTAAATACGAACCTGTATTTTTTGTTATAGTTTTTGGATCGTAGACGCTCACTTCATACTGAGAAATTAAATTCAATTTTATATTTCGGAATTTTTCGGTAATATTCGATTATAATTGTGTAAATTATTCCCTTTCAAATTACGGCCCTGAAAATTGGTTGACTGAGTTGAATAAAAACACAATAGCAATTTTCACGTCTCCCTATGTACCGTAGAGTTTTTCGAGAGTTTTTTATCATTTTAAGGTACCTATTCATGATTTTTTCATTGCTCTGAGGTTTTCTACAATGAACTTCGAATAAGAAAACCTTTTATGATTATCTGAAACATATCTACAACAAAAATATATTACATGTGTTTTGATGAGTAGAAAAAAATGGTAACAATAATAACATCCGAAACGAACACTATAATTATAATGAAAATTGAAATGAAGTAAGTAATTTATATACACAAAAAAATTAATTGTGCAATGAATGTTCGAATTGGAGTCCTTCCATTTCGAGACAAATAATGGGACAATAAGATGGTTCTGCAAGATCACCAGATCTTACTATTTTGGACAATTTTCCATGGGGGACATTGAAAAATAGGATTTACGCTGGCAGAGAGATAGAAAATGTAGGAGACTCGAGATTGAGGATTTTGAATGATTTCGCAACAATGCAGCAAATAAGTGTATTGAGGGCAATAAATAATATGAAAAACCAAGTTTAAAAATGTGTCGAAATGGAAGGACTCCAATTCGAACATTTATTGCGTCAATAATTTTTTTGAGTACCTATATAAATTACTTCATTTCAATTTTCATTACAATTATAGTGTTCGTTTCGGATGTTATTATTGCTATCATTTCTTTGTCTGCTTATTAAAACACACATAATATATTTTTGATGTAGAAATGTTTCAAATAATTATAAAAGGTTTTCTTATTCGAAGTTAATTGTATAAATCGCTCAGAGCAATGGAAAAAATATGATCAGGTACCTAAAAATGAAAAAAACTCTCGAAAAACTCTAGGGTACATAGGGAGACGTGCAACTGATCGCCTCGTTTACCTTTAATATTCGAGGATTGAGTTCTCTGTTAATTCCATAGATGGCGTTTTAGTAAGCTGAGATTATTGCCCTTGCTTACTCAGTCTAGTTTTTTTAAAGACATTTGAATCCATCAATGCATATTTAGTGCAGCCTAGCACCATTGACGAGACCTATGGTGGACGAAACATTGCTATCTGATGTTAGATCACAAATGCGTTGTATTTGGGCTCTGTATTCCAGATATTATGAGATAGTCTGTTGAAAATGTTTGTATATACAGAATTCCAGTATATCTGCGAATAAAAATTATACTCCCAGTATTAACAACGATTGGAGTGAAGGAGTGAAGATTCATAAGTATAATGAAAAATCAATGACTTGAAATATCTCAAATATTAGCAACTATTATCCTGAATAACAATAATTTTACTTTTATGAAAAATCATCAGTCAATAATAAAGAAATACTAACCTGTTACTGAGGCCAGGTACTGGAAAATTCTTCCTCTAACAATTTCATTTTCAGTTGCCATAATCACATCAATTATTGAATTCCATTGAATGATGCTAAAATAATTTTATGAGTAACAATGTTAAAAACTTTCAGCCACTGAGTAATCCCACACGATTTTGTTATTTGCCTGCAAGTTGAAAATATGACGACAATGAATATAAATGATAATAACCAGACAATCCACCAATTAAAACAACAACGCCAGTCTGCATGGAACTTCCATTAACAAATGAAACATCAGTCTATAGAACGTTTTGTAAAAAATAAAACCAGAATTAGTCCCCTTTTCGCTCGTAAATAAAATGTTTTCAAACCTATAGTGTACAGCTGCATTATAAAAAACGCATGAATTTTAAGCCCTCATTATGATTCTACAGCAAATGTAGTTAGTACGAGTATATGATTATTACGTGAGCTTAAACTGAATGCTATAATCATAACAATATTCACAACCATTTCAAACATTCACCTACTTTTCTCATGATTCTGAAATGCATAACCCGTTGAACAAATTATAATGTTATCACCCAGGTATATAACACAGACTTCTCCGCGAGATCTCTGAGAAATAACTATTAGTATAGTTCAAGGTAAACGATATCGTGTCCTCTACCTTCCAGCAGTTCTCCTTAAAATAGTTAGGGAGCTAACTAATTTTGTTATTCAATAATCATTTCTGATTATATTCTCGCACTTGAATAGGTGTGAACCACAATAAACCCTTGCGGGTTACGGTGAAGGGTCGAATAGACCTACTCACTTGTAACCTAACCTAACTTCTTACTCACATATGTATATACAATCGATCGCTTAGAACACACTTCACTAACTTTCTTCGAAAGCTTCTGATAATTCCTTTTCCATAGTCTCCGTTTCACTATAACTGTGGTCATTTAAATCAATAATGAATTCATTTCCACCACTGATATGGAAGTGTATAATCTCAATTTAGTATTTTTCAACTAAAATTACTTTTTTATTCCTTTTCTGCCAGTCTTCTTCGGTAATATTAGATACTTCTTCTTTAACTAGCTCTATCACCTTCTTATCAAATTTTGGAAAATTATTTTTACGCCTGATGCTTTGTTTCAATTTTCTCCAAATCAACTCGATGGGATTGAAAACACAAAAATAGGGGAGAAGTCTCAATATGGTGTGTCCATACTTTTCAGCAATACTCTCAAGGGCATACACTTTTTCAAATGTTTTTGACTGTAAAACTTCAAGTACCTAGTTGGTTTTTGGTAAAGTATTCTTCAAAATACAAATTGTTATCCATTATGAAACTTTGTATTTCATCTTTCCTCAAATTTTTATTCGGTACTTTGATGAGCTGTCGCGAATGATTGGAAACGTTGTCAACAACTATTACACTATTCGCATCCAAATTTAGGATCAATGTGTTTTCAAACCATTCCTCAAAAATATTAGCTTCCATGTTCTTATGATAGTCAACATTGCAGTCCTCAAGTTTTTTTCCACATAATTTCAAAGAATGCGGAACCCATCCTTTACTTCCTTCGTAATGCACAATGATTAGTCGCGATCCTTTGTTTACAGGCATGTTAGGCGTACACATTCTCGAACCATCAGTTCACCCTTTCGTAACTGTGTCGTGAGTGTCATACCAAGTTTCGTCCAAATAGAAAATTTGCCGTTGTTCTTGTCTATATTTAGTTATTTGTTCTAAGTATTTGTTACGCAATTACACTATTCTTCTGCTTTCCATAACTGCTTGACGTTTGTTTATTATTTTAAATCTGAATCCTAGTTTCTTTATCCAATTCTGAAGAGTTTTGTCACAGCAGCTCACGTTATGGCCGGAAGTATTCAATTTCTTCCTTATGATTTCCATTATAGGAATCTCATTGCTTTTGTAATAATCGTATATTGTTTTTTTTTTTATTAAATGGACATCTAAAGGTTTTGGTAATCCCGCATCTATTTGCGTCTTGCGTTTATAAGGTTTGTTTTTGACAATTTCACATACGGTTGAGAAAGGAATTTCGGTCAAATCTGAAGTTGCCTGTAATAGTTTGTTTTCCTCCAAATCAAACTTGGGATGTATATACAATGAAACATACTGTTTGTGTTTCAATATTCATATGCATCCGAATCTTATTCACTGGTATATCTTTTTCGCATTGTTCACCAGCGCTATTGGAATCACTACACAGAAAAAAGTCTGCGTTGTTATCACACTCGTTATTTCTATTAGTACTTGTCCAAGGACGCCACATTTTAAACAAATAACAAATATTTTAAATAATTATAACTTCATCAATATCAAATTTCAACACTCAAATTGCGATCAGTTCCTGAACTGAACATTGACAACACGACTCTTCTAACCATCCTCACATTCTATTGGTCACCGTAACATGACTTCAAATTTGATTTTATGACTCCAGCCAATTATAAAACTCGGTTAGTCAAAATTATCCACGTGGACTAATTCGTAGCGGCATTATTTCTTTGTATTGTTTTTTTTGGCCATCTACTTCGCCGATAGCTTTAAGAATTACTATATCGGTTACTTCGACTATATCTTATGCGAACTTCTATTGCAAGGTCTCGGTGTTCGGTATGTTCGATGTCCATAGAAAAAATCTTGAAGATTTCACATTACAACCGCCAGATACCAGCTCTATACGATTTCCTCAAGTGGTTCCTGAGATAACCTGAATAATAATTTTACAACAAGAGTTCCTAAAACTATCGCAAATGTAACCATAATAAAAGGTTACCGATACGCGTTCCTCAAGTTCTCCTGAACGTTATCTAATTAAGAAACTCTCATTCTGAGTTCCCTAAGTTTTCAAAAATGCAATCAAAACAACAAACATCTCATTGCGAATTCCTCAAACTAGCTTGAAAATAAAGAGAACAAGATAATATTTTTCCATTAAAATAACAAGGGTAGTGCATATAGTATATACAGTGTCACTCATAATGTTCGTGACATATGGAAGTTTATTTTTTAATACATATAATGGGAATTTTACTGCGCAGTAAGTTTGTGCTTGGATAATGAGGAAAAAACAGCCTCTTTCTTTCTGTTATGTGCTACTCTAAACCTGTCAAATTTCACATCTTTTTCCAACATCCTCAGAAAATAAGGTTTTTTTTGGAAATTTCGAGAAATGCCAAAGAAAAAGTTGCTCGGCTTCCAATTTTATACTCTTGTTCGAAATTTGTTCCCTCTACTGTCACTTCGACAATTTTTTGAATTTTTCAAATCTTTCGCTGTATCGATTCGAACGGAGCAGGATTTAAATTTCATCATTTTCATTAATAAGACACTTCAGTCATTTCTTGTCCAGAAAATACCCGCATTGGCCTGTTAGCAAAAAAAAATGAATACACCTCCAGAAATTCGTGTTTGATATTGCAAAGTTCACCTATTTTTTTCATTTCATTGTTAAACTGATTCGGATTCTCAATGCATGGACATTATTATGTCAGTAATCGAGTTGACGTATTTCTCTTCATTCTTATTTACACTCTTATTCCTTTTTTTTAACAGATTTTATCCCATTAGCTGCAGATGAGTTCGAAATATTTTGAGGCAGTTTACACCCAACAGTGTGACTGTTGGATGTAAACTATCACATGTAGTTGTTGAGCAGATAATAACGCCTCTTGAGTAAATTTCATAAATCTTATATTCTTTATTTTCTCCATTTGATGTGTAAATAACAATAAACCATAACATTCATGGACTTATCTCAATAACCTTATTAAAAACCCGAATTCATCATTCAATATGTCGTGCTTTCCGTTCTATACAAATTATAGTTCTTTCATTCACAGACTTTGTGCCATTTTTAATGAATGGGGGGTTTATGTTAGCACAACACTCTCAAATGGTATTCTCTAAATGTTATTTGTTTGTAAATGGTCTGTGCTCACACACTCTTTGTTTCAGGTAACCCGGTAAAAAAAAGTCTATCATGGAAACGTCCGGTGATCTTGGTAGCCAATAATCTTTCCAATATCGTCCTATCACTTTGCCCCTTAACATCTGACTGTTTCACTTCTACCGTTTGGTAGATCGGTGCTACCACAAATTTCATCTGAATCTTAGAGGCAGACAACTCTTCAGACAACTGATTCATTATGAAATTTCTACACATTTGTCTTGAATGATTATTGGTCACGGCATTCTAATGGAAAATTTTGATTATCGTTGGACCACCAGCGACCATTTTGGAAAGTAACTGTTCCGTTCGACGTGAAAGTTGCATCGTCTGTCCATGAAATCCTGTAGGAAAATGCGTTATCATTTTCTCTCTCACCTTAGAACCCAAATGAAAATCTTACTCGAATATCGAAATCTTTCTCTTCAAGAGTGTGTATGAACTTTGGCTTAAAGGGATGGAATTTATTTTTGTGCAAAATTCTTCTTACAGTTTCTCTACCAACCCCGGTATCTTCACTAATACTCCTAATATTTGTTTTCCGTTCTCAACAACGCTCAAACAAACATTGAGTTGTTCTTCTTCAGTATACTTTATTGAATTATGTGGTTTCTTGAAACGAATGAACACAGAGCCAGTTTCTTTAAATGTTTTTAATATCCTTCTCACGGTACTGAAGTGAATATTTCTTCATGGATGCCGGTGATTGAAAATTCAAGCAACATCTCGATATAGCACATTCTCACAACATAAAAGAACGATTTTCACTTTGTCTTGAGTGAAAAACATTGTACATAAAACTTATTTGTGAATTATAAATGTACCAAAATCTATACACAAAACAACTCGATTCATTAAATGCAAGAATTTGACATTAACCAAAACTGAAAAATTTGTTTCAAAAGCCTACTAAAGAAAAATTTTATTTCGATTTGATCAGTACCTCTTATTTTTTTCCCGACACGTGGCATTAGTATTGTAATGTTTACAATTACGAAATTTTATATCATGTTTAGTGCAAGTCGTTAAAACGAAAGTCTTTTGAATAGTTATGAAACTGTATGTCAATGTTTAGCTTACAGAAAAATATGCTGGTTTGTGACTGAATTATTGGTCAGAAAAATAATCAAACTGGATGAAAATCAATTGATAAAGGGAACAAGACTGGACTGGATAACTGACGTATTAACGTCCATACAATGAAAATCCGAATCAGTTCAACAATGAAATGAAAAAACTAAATGAACTTTGCAAGAATTTCTGGAGGTGTTTTTACTTCTTTTTCAGGTAACAGGCCAATGTGAGTATTTTCTGGACAAAATATGACATTGAAGTCTCGTATCCATCAAAATTAAGAAATTTGAATCATGTTTTCCTTCGAATCGATAGAACTAAAGATTCAAAAAATTTAAAAAAAAATGGAAAAAAGTCGAAGTGACAGTCGAAAGTCCAAATTTCGAGCAAAGGTGTGGAATTAGAAACTGAGCAACTTTTTTCTGTGGCATTTTTTGAAATTTCTAAAAAAATCTGATTTCTTTAGAATTTTCGAAAAAAATGTCA